TTTTGCGAGCCAACTGGTGACGACGTTGCAAAACTTGAAAACAAATTTCAACAGACAAAACCACATTACAACAGATTATCCCAGCTTGACAAAACAAAGCTTATTATTGGCCTGTTCTCGGTAAATGCAGCGTGAGCACATGTAGAAACCTTGACGTTACGCTGTGTGAGCAAGTTGAGACATAAGGAGCTGTCAAACGTGGTAGTTTTAATCAGGATTAGTTTCCAGCAGGTTCCAGAAACCACACTACAAACTATACTATATCAGTGCTGACGGTCAACAGATCAGTGGTGGCACGGCGTTTTTCCAATGCCGCGCAGATCAGTGCTTTTTCACAGATTTTCTTTTCAGCCAGGACTCGCTTCATGTACTAAACAGTATAAGATACCACATAACTAGGCTTATAACTATTCGTAATAATCGTGGCTGACCACAGCATCCTTCGAAGGACGTGATCAGTTTGCTACGCAACGTTTTTAAAGCGGTGTGCCACTTGAGAAGAGATGAGCTTGATTGCTCGCACCCGCGGTAATGTGTTGAGTTTAGTGCAAGGCTGTGGGCTGCCGGCGGTTGTGCTCACGTCATGAGACGCTGGCTGGCTAGAAGAACGTAGGTAATTGCCAAAATTTTACGGCAATAGCTTAAAAAGCCCTGCCGATCTATGATTGCTGTTTGTGGATATCTGAGCTGTGGCTTATGAGGTAGACGGAAGTCGTTGGAGAGAGACATGTGAAGGATTCATTCGGCGCTTTTTGTCACTAAGAGGAACAGCGGCTTTGGGTTACGAGGCCGAACATCACTCGTGTAGACCTCTCACATTGCCCGCAGCACCTCAGACTTAGCACACTGATCGGAGAACAGGTATGAAATAAAACGGTTGTATTTGTCAGCATACTGCACATAAAGCCAAATAAGGTGCTAGAGATGTTCAAAAATGTTTGTCTGCACTCTGTTGATACCAACATTGTGTGGGTTTTGCTCTAAATAATTGGGATCATGTTGGGAAGCGCAAGCTCTGCACCGGGCAATGATTATACCAGATAGTAAAGCCTCGCTAACCGCTTTTAGCTGATTGAACGATGATGTCACGAAAACAAAAGTGATATTGTTTCTGGTGCTTGTAGAGCCATGCTATCGGTAAATGTAGGACCACAACAACGCAGTTTTGCAAAATTCGTAGGGGTTAGGGATATAAGGGGGAGGGAGAGGGTGCAGGAAAAAGTGATTGAGCTTACCTCCGAAATGAACTTAAAGCAGCTTTCTCCTCAGATCTTATGCAGTTTTCTTTTGCAGCTGGCAGCGGGGGTGTAATTATTCAAAATAATTTGAGGGCTCAGCCCCAAAATATGACAACTGGTTAATAATGGATTAAAATTATAATTAAAACAGAACACTGTATTACTGGTTAGGAGGCACAATTCCGCTTGCCCCCCTCCCCCCCCCGCCCCCACTGAATAGAAAACTACACGCCTTAAGACTGTTTATGTTAAGTAATATGCCTTTATGTGATAATTAGGTTAGGTTAGTCTCAAACCTACATTCAGGCGTCTGATGGCCAGCACTCAAACTTAAATGCAAATATCTACCCGAAACAAAAATGTTTGATGGTTACGGCCTCGTTGCATTTAATTTCCCCAGCATTTTGTGGTTTATTTGCCTTTAGAAATATATCGCAAGCGGCTTCTTAAAGATTTGGCCCCAGGTGACAATTCAGAACCGTTCCAAATATCGTCTGTGGCCGGGAAAAGGCACCTTCTCACCCCCTGGATAAAACGTCCGACCACAATATGTATATATATAATATATATATATATATATATATATATATATATATATATATATATGTGTTGTGTGTGTGTGTGTGTGTGTGTGTGTGTGTGTGTGTGTGTGTGTGTGTGTGTGTGTTGTGTGTGTGTGTGTGTGTGTGTGTGTGTGTGTGTGTGTGTGTGTGTCACTGAACTTTAATTCACTGCCGAAGACAAATGAATGCGCAACTTGGAGCAGCGTACGCAATTAGGAAAACAAATGTTGCGTCCCAAGGAGATTAGATTCCACTCGTCAATTTCATCAATCGCCCACATGTCATGCCGTCCTCTTGCCACGTTTCACGCCAGCTTTGTGTTGGAAGTTGTACGCAGCCAAGGCATCACCGACCTACTTGTCTGTGATGACTGCTCATTAGGCAGTTTGTGATGGGTTCTTTCCACCCACCGGCTCATTTTTTCGTAGGAAGCATAGTGGCTACGCTGCTGGGTTACCTACGGTTTGTATAGTCCTGAGCTAATCTACCGTGTGTTCCAATGAACACATCTATTTAGCTGTTTACAACACACACGGTAGGATGCTTTCCCGCGGTTAAAAATACAAAGTTGGTGCCAACAAACAGAGATACTAAAATATATAACCAAACAAAAGATGCGAAAGTTAACCAGCTCAGACGGAGAGGAGACGATACCACTTGCACTGCAGCAAAATCTCTTAGGCGTGCGGGATTCAGACACTTCATCCTGAGCCCCTTAGCCCCTCGTCCAGATCAAGAGATAGACCGAACAGATCAAGCGACACGCGAGAAAACCAGGAACTCCGCGTACTTAGCAAGTGTCTTTTCAAATGTTTGGATGTTGGGGGTAGGATATGTTGTGCAAGATGGGCAAACTCAGGTCAGATTTGATTTGTCATGCTTGATGTTCTCTCGTAACTTCATTATGCGAAAAGGAACCGTACGACTGCTATGGCCCGGTAGCTATTCCAGACCCTGAGCGTGCATAATGAGAAGCTGAAAGCCGTACATTGGAGATAAGGTGAACCAGTTAAGGAAGGAGTGATCCATCGCAAGACATATGACCTGAGAATGAAGTGAGGCATTCGGAGAAGGTCAGGGTCGGACGTGATGCTTCTCACTGGGCCAAAGCAAGAAACACTGACCCGACTGTTTTGGATGCACACGAAACAAAGGTGGTGCTCACGTGCTTATAGAAGCTGGAACACAAACTCTTTGACAAACGTAGCATTTTTTTGCAAGTTGATGATAAAAATGCAGCAATATGATTGCAATATTAACAGTTTTCACGAGGGATTAATGTACTTGAATTTCATAACAAGTGTTTAAAATAGTTTCTATGAAGTTCTCGTGTTAGTATGAAGTTCTATTGTACGCATTCTGACAACGAAAATGTTGCTTTCACGCAATTCTGCTAACACGCAATAGGTAACAACCTCATGAGGCCAACTAAGAGTTAATATGTTACACTTAGAGAGGCTCTTTGCATACATCTCTTCATCTCATACCCTTAGCTCACCCTTATAATAAAAATGCTATAGAAAATAGTAGGCCTGGCAAGCAATGGCCAATGTGTACCAGTCGGGGGTGTTAGATGCTGGTTGCTCCATTGTTGTTTTTACCGGTGCTGTATGGAGAAAGCAGGCTTTGTGAATCATTTCATCCAAGAATCATTCACATTAGATCGTTTTAATGTTTTTAAGCCCTGTAAGCTCTGCCAGCACTGTAAGCAAACCCTGTATGTACCGTACGTAGGCTGCGTACTTGAGTGCTGCATATGTATGAATAGAGACGCTAAAAAGTTATAGGAGTTTGTTTTGTTGCGGATGCGTCAAAAATGCTACTGAATAAATTCAATAAATGTTGAAAATAAATTGAGCAGCTTCGGTAGGAAGAGATCTAGCATCGCAGCTGTTTATTGAACATGATCCTGCTTTTAGTCAGCTAATTGCAATTTTATCACATTATTCGTCTTCGAATTTAGCATTATCGACGTTCTTTATTTTCTGAGACATTTTTAGCCGAAAGTCGCTGATGAAAGGCGCGTGATGAAGAATGAGCGTTGAAAGCTGTTAAAAAGTTTAAAAAGTTTTGTGCCGTAATCCTTGAAAACAGCTGTTGGTGAAGAACAAGAGCAATGTTGCAATATTTACTTGAGTCCGCATCCGAAATCGAACTCAAGCACGCTTATGTCCAGGATATGCGCAACCAACTAATTACAAGGAGGTATCTGCTACCTGTTTCGATTAATAACTGGAAAGTGCATTCCTTATACGCTGCTTATCCTCTTTACTCCGTCTGTAAAGGGCTGCTTTGTGCAGCTACATTGCAGGTAGATTATGTTTCATCTGACAGGCACTGGAAATCCAAGACTACAGTTTTTCTGAAGCGGGGGACCACTTCAACATGGCTCCGACATGCCCCAGGGTTTGTTTCCCCGACGAAACCCTTATTTATAGGATCTCTTAGATGTACAATATAGTCCATCTGGAAAGTGGCTACATAATACGATCCTTCAAAGCGAGAGCATGAAAAAAATCACGATATACGATAAACAACTAATTACGCGATCGCATTGCCCAAAAACATGTTTAAAACAAAAACATTTTCCCTTAATACTCTTTATTAGAACTGAAAACGAATTCCCCAAAGCAAGGTCATCCCGGGTACCTGTGCTCACCCGGCCGAAGTGTCTCATGGTGTGCAGGGTAGTGTGCAAATAGGAACGTAGTTTTGCCGAATTGCTATGAGGGCCAAACGGTAACAAATGACGAAAGCTACCCCTAAAACTCGCCAACAAACGGGTTTCTTCTTGGATTTGGACCACTTCCTTCTCAAAGTTGGGGGAAGCGCTGGAGCCTGAGTGAGCTCCCATTCCCAACTAAGCAGGAAATTACACCTATTTGTGCAAGGCAGGTACGGTCAATACAAGAACACAGTGTGGGCGGAGATAATAAGTTTGCCCAGGCAGCTAATAAGTTTGGCAGGTGTGGCGGCGACCGCGGCTGAATTCAACGAAACTGCCACGAAGGCCACGAACACTACCCGGTCCCCGTCGGCCCCAGCGAGCGCCGTCCGTGACCGCCCGCCCCTCCCCACCTGCGCGGCTCTGCTGCGCAGTAGACGGCCATGGGACGACCGGCGGCCGGCTCCAGTGCTGGCGCTGCGGTGGGGGAGTGGGGGTGGTGCCTGTGGTCGGCTCAGTTCGGCATGCACGTGACTTGGGCCGATCGATCTTTGGAGTGGGCCGACGGGTGAGCTTTCGCAAAGAACTGGAGGAAAGGTAGGTGCGCGGGTTATGAGTGGGTTTAGACGGTAGAAGAAATCGAAACGTTTCCTTGGGGTGCAAAAACACCGCACTTGTGAATAGTTAATGAGTTTGTCATGCATGTTTTGGAGAATGTTCCTTAGGTTCGCCTAGAACCCTTAGTTTCATGCATTCTTTCCTTCCTAGTGTCATCATCCATCGTATATTATCGCCTCTCTGTCCATTCGTAGTATCTTTATTCACGCCATCTCGGGCTCTCCTGCAGCATGACATGTGTGATGTTCCGCGATTTAAACAGACTCGGGAGTGCGTGGTGCGGCACAGATGGCCGCGTCACCAGCGTCACAGTCGCGTGACGCTAGTGACGTTCAAGTGCCGAGCTGTAATCGCGTGTGCCGTCCCCGGCAGCCAGCCGCGACCGCCCTAGAGCTAAATGTCAAGCCGGCTCAGAAGGAATGCCTCCATTAAAGCCGGATCGACAGGCATCCGAGCGATGTACCGATCCACCGCCTCACAAATAGGTGCAGTGCCTACCTGGGAATCCATCAGGACAGCGACCTATAGAATGGCTTGTTTAGAAGACCAGTCAAACCGCCCGATCGTAATTGCTCTTCTTAGCGGATGGTATGCGGAGGCGTGGACGCCGAGCATTTTCCCATTTTGTGCCCGCAATGCCGGCTAATTGCGGTTTATAGCTCCGTTCCTCTTGGCGGCGCACGTGGATCGCAAAAGCTTTCGAAGGCTACGACGCGAGTGAATGCCGCCTGTTTAGTATTCGACATCTAAAGGCTGAGCAAACAAAAGCGCTTGCTTTAGACCAGCGAGATAACCCGGCGCAATAACCCTACCGCGAAGCACACGTGGCGCCCATGCACGCGGCAGACGCTCCTGGTTGAAGCAGGGCCCAGTGTGCGGTCGCCTCGGCTGGTCGTCTCAGGAAGCTATCTCCGTGACATCGCGCGGCAGCTCTACCGGCCCTGGCATGTCACGAGAACAACAGGTCGTGCTCAGCTGCCGGCACACGCCCGGAGGCGACGGCAACACTAAGCCAGAGGTCCTATTGCGAGAATGTTCCGCGTCAGCGACTGTCAAACCGTTCACAAGGTTTGCAAAAACGACATGTTCCGAGTTTCGAATGGCTATCCAGGAGAACGGTGAGTCGTGGAGTAGTCGTGTCTCGTGGGAAACAGAAACGTGGCGGTTTTGAAAGTGGCATAAGTAAGAGTTTCAAAGATGCCTTACAACAAAACCAATGAACTTCAAGATGCATACTTATAAATTGATGACTGACTAGATGAGTGGACGAAGCACTCGCAAAAAAAACACTTCCCACTCTCGTATACCTGGCTGCGCCTGTGAACCGCAGCTCTGATGCTCATTCTTTCAAAATATCGGTTGTCAGTTCAGCCCCAAAAATATCGTTTCGCCTCCTCTGACCGTTGAGAGTTTCTTGCTTCACGGAGCATTGAAAAATGGTTGCATACAATACAGCGCTCACAAGTATCTAGTGGTGTAAAGAACCCAACCGCGTCGGTGATCTTTTCCGTGTGTCCTATATGCTTACGCTTATATGCTCAGGATCGTAGCCAAGGGAGGGGCCAGCCCCCATCCACTTAGGATTTTTCGTGATTTACCATAGATTGCTCCAGACAGAACGCTACAGTTCGGTGTGACGCGTTCCCAGCGGGCCCCGGACTCCTCCCTTAAGAATATTCTGGCTGTGCCCCAGTTCCAGCTTGGCCAAGACTTCTTACACACTGAATCCAAGCGGCCCATGAAAGGTTGCTTATGACAAATTTGCCACTGGTTGAAGTGTATGGGAATAATTTTTCCGGACGAAGATTGTTAACAAAAATATAATTTTGAGGAAATGTGCTCAGAGGCGCGAGGAACATAAAGTGGGGTTAGCATGCACTTCTTGTTGATCTGCATCCAGTACCAAAACTCCCGCGATTTTTTGTGTTGTGATTTTGATACCATGGTGGAACCAAATGCATGCTTGCGAACTATATACGATATTTTCAGTCAAAAATTGCCTTTCAGGAGAGCAAGCAGCGGTGTGCTAGTACATGCGTGAAAAACTGCGATTTTATTGAAATGAAAAAAAATGGCACCGTCTGTGGTTATACAGGGTGAGCAATATTTGCCTGCGTATGCATGTGTAAAAGTGAGAAGGTAACTAAATCGAGTGCACTCTTCGGAATGATTTGATGGCTCAGTGACCAAAGCCAGAGTGTACTGAATCCCCCTATATAAAAACAAGGTTGAAGAACCACCCCTGTCGCCAGTGGTTAAGTGGGACGAAAACACCTTGATATGCTGTTCATACGTCCGTATCATGCATTTTTCATGTGATAACTATTAATGGCTGAGTGTTCGGTTATAAATAGCAGCTCACGCATGGCCAAGCATGTTTTGCCGGCCGCTTCTCGCTGCGCCCATTCCTCCTCTGTTCCTCTCGCACCACTCCCCCTCTCGCTCTCTGACTTAATCCCCCCTCCCTCCCGGTCTTGTTCTCGCTCTCACACGCTCCCTCTCTCCTTGTGTTCTTCTTCATCTTTTTCATCCATTCTCTCTCCCTCTTTCCTTCCACTGCTTTCCTCATGCCGCTCGCTCCTCCAAATACCGCCCCCACGCACAGCCCCGCATTACGCGCAACCACGCGTGTCGTTCTGGTGCCGCAAACACGCGCCCACGCCGCTCCATTCAAACCGGCCGCCTCAGGAGACCGTTACAATCATCGTCACGTACTCCGCAGCGTAGTGGGCTGACAGACGTTTAGACCGCCGCCCCGTCCCCGCCCTCCGCCGCGGGCGGCGGCGGCACGGGCGCGCGCTGCAGACGGCGGTCGCCATGGCGACGGGCCGCTAGCCGCCTTGCTGCGCGGCAGTCTCCGTTAGCTGCATGGTCCACGGTGCAGTCACCCGCGCATGGCGTATTCGCTGGACATGCGGAGGCGTCGCCGGCCGGTTTTACGATGGGCTCTGGCGGGTCGGAGTTCGGTGCCGTTATCAAACGCCTGGGGGAAAGGCGCTGAATCGTGTGAGACACCGGGCCACTGTGACCCCAGGCCAGCAGACGAGCTGACAAATCTTATAATTTCCTCACGGTAAAAATACTCCTGCGACACTGCTCTCGGCTATGAAAAATACCTCCATGAAGCTGTTATAAAACGGCGAATTTTTACTAGTATGAAAGTGAGACTAGGTTTTCAATACATATCTAATGTAGCTATCGGTGAACAACTGCTCACCATATGCACATCTGGAGACTCGACCGCCATGCAGTCTACTGATGCCTTACTAAGGACCGAAATGCTTCCACCATCCGCGGTACATCTGCAAGACAAGCAGGCATTCATTTACGTGGATCTAGGCATCCATAGATGTGGAACAGTTTGTACTGGATGTGCTTACGTAAGACCGACCCCAGATAACACCGGTTGCCATTGGCCCGCCGGGAAGGGTAAGGCTGAACTCTTCGAAGTGTATCAGCTATGACTGCGCGAAATGGCTACGCTGTTTTGGGAAAACGGTCACAGCCAAGTATCGCAGCCAGCCACCCCGCATAACGCAAGCTGTTGGAGCCCGAAATGAGTGTTCTTACGTGAAGCAACAGATCGGCCATTACTTGATGTCCCCCATTGTCTTGATCTATCAATAACTGAAGTATTAAGATATTAAGAATGATTAAAAGCGTTCTAGCGCATATGATTGGAAGAGACAACCCAAAAACTGGTTGAATGTCTACTTCTGCCTGGAATATTTAAAACAATGGATCTGTTTTGACCCATATGCTGGCAAACAGGAAATGAAAACTGTTTTGCATGGTAGTTACGCGAGAAGAAACTTATCGGTAACAGCAATACTAGCTATGCTAAAGCTATGGACTCCCATTGTGTATCTTTTCAGATTTATTTGCTTACAGCTTCATTGAGAACCACGAGAGTGCCTTCAACACGACCTTAAAAGCGTAAACGTATCAGCGGAGTCATCTCCACTTTGCCTGCGGCCGGTATCCACCATTGGTTAGACAAATTGCTAGATTTTGACGTGTGTGAGGAACCGACTAACGCTCGTTGCCATGCCCCACGAGATCAGTAAATTAAATAGAACTAAGCACTAATGGCAAGAGAAGACTTCAGAAACCCGCGAATGTTAAAGTCCATTAATGACCAGTGTGCCCGGCAAAGAACAATGGCGGCAGTTACTGTACTGTGCGTAGACACTGACTCAACACAACAATATGCAGAAACAATGCTGGATGAAGCCAAACTTACCAATCTCCGTCCCCAGGCCACCTTTTCCCGGTTGAGAGGAGAGCCAGAGGACGCATGACGTCAATGGACAGCGATACGCCGAGATGCTCGCCCCTCCCTCCCCCCCCCCCCCCCTGTATCTCGAGTCTTGAATAAAAGCTTTTTTACTCACCGTGTCGCCTCGTTGGCACCCCCAATCCCTATCCTCCCATCTTTTCATCCACCTGAAGATAGGCTTAGTCCCAAGACCTACGGGTTTCTCTCTTTCCCGTTCTATTTTCCTTTGTCCGGTTTTCAGGCTGTTTCTTGACCCGGGTCTCCATGTGATTTAAATCATCGTTACAACGCTGAACGGCAACCAGTTCTACTCAGCCCTCGCAAGATGCCATATGCACAAGGTGCCTTCCCACCGCTGAGCAAGTCTTGGGACAAACCATTTCGCCTTGGACAGCGCGTGAAACTATCGGTTGCCATGGAAACCAGGCTGTACATTTAGTATGGGCTCACGGCCTGTTAATGCCCTTGCAGAGGTAAGCACCAGAAGCACCGTTGGTGCCCAGTTTTAGCGGCCAGTCAATGAACCGGATTCTCGCGAAGACCTCAGTGGATGCGGGGCGGCAGGGTTGATGAGCCAGCAATGCAGACCTGAGCGGACATTGCACACGGATTCGTGCGCTCTGGGTGCACGATATGTCTTCCGCGTTGGGAGGGAATGCTATTCGGTATGTGTTGGCGTGCTGATATGCAGCACGGGTGATGGGAGATGCCTCGTTTTTGAGAGGCAATTCTGATCGAGTGTTGCGGGCGTTACAAAGCTGTCTGTTGAGGACGTGACCTATTCGGCTCTGATTACTCTTGCGCTTGCAAGCTGCCCCTGCAATGAAGGCAGGGCACGACGTTTGCTTTCCATGGCCCCCTGATTCCGTTGAGTGCGCTCACTGGTTTTGATCACCGGTCTAGAATGAAACATAGCGGGCCAGTGCAGCTGTTTCTAGAAGCTGGCGAGGTCAAATCCGATTCCTGCTTTGCAAAACGTAAATCAGTCAGAATCACCAAGGTTTCTTCTTATTATCTTTTGCGTTGCTCCAAACGGGTGCGTTGGCATTTGACACGATGCGCCTCTCCCATGCGAAGCATGACACATACATCAGGGGTGGAAGGAAATTAACCCAACAACTGAACCACGCTATGACTCTTTCAAGCAGCTACAGTGCTTGTAGCTCGCTATAACAACTCAAGACAAAGTCGGTCATGTAACCTGCGGTGTTGGATCCAGAGAGAGGGGCAGGGGGTCATGCCCCCTCCGGTTCCCAACACGGCCCACAGGCTCCGAGACGGCGCATAACCGGCCGATCGGACGCAGTCCTTTTAACACAAAACATAACAAAATTGGGCGTCTTTGGTGCTCCAGGCAACCAAAAACGGCTCATTACGCTGTGCAGAGGCCCTACGCTGTTGTTGGGGGCCCTTTACGTTCACTTGCCGGGTCAATCCGATTGCCAAGGAGCATTCCACATTGCCCTTGGTCTCTTGATATTCGGTCTGGGCGCCCTACGCTACAGTTGGGGCTCGGTCTGCTAACATTCCGGGACACTCTTGATCGATCAGGGGCCCTCCACAGGTTCTTATATTTTGTCGGAAATGTGTCATGCGCTTTGCTGGATTCCCATGCGTCTTGCAGGGGTACTTTTGGTTGCTCAGGGGCCTTCACATTGGTCTCGGGCTTTTTCCACTTGCTCGGAGGCCCACATAAGTTAATGCACCGAGGAACTCAATACTCAGGGGCCTTCGCATTGGTTTTGGGTTCTTTCTACTTGTCCGGAGAATCCTACGCTGTTGTCCGGGCCCTACGCGTTCATCTGCCGTGGCACTCTCGATCCCCCGAGGGCATTGATCCTTGCGCACTGGTCTTGGCTTACTCCGTTTGGTCAAAAGGCCAAGCACTTTGGCCGGGCCGTATACGTTCATCTGACGTGGCACTCTCGATCACTTGAGGGCATTAATCTTTGCGCACTGGTCTTGGCTTACTCCTGTTTGGTCAAAAGGCCCTGCGCTCTGGCCAGGCCCTATATGTTAACCTGCCGAAACACTCCCGATCGCTCAGGGGGCCCCATCACACTGGTCTTTGGTTCTCCTCGCTTGCTCTGAGGACCCAACACTGTTGACGGCAGCGTCTTCGTTGGCCCGCCGCGTCACCGTCAGTCGCTCACGTGCCGTCCCTGTTGGCCTTGGGTTTCCCATTTTATCGGAGGGCCCACGTCGTTGACGAGGACCTAACTGTAAATTCCCCGGGGTACTTTTGAACGCTCCGGGACACTCCACATTGGTTTTGGGCTCTTACGGTGACATCAGAAGGGCCTTTCTCTGTTGCAGAAAGCCCATATGTGCTTGCGAAAGCCAAGGTGTTTTACCTGCTCGTGTGTACGAGCCTGGCTAAATAAATTCAAATACACAAGTTTGATATCTACACGAGAACGAGGACCCAACACTGTGTTGGGTCCTCAGAGCGCGATCACCGAAGATTATTTTAAGCGCCGGCGACGTCGAATATGTCATTTCCATTAGTTATTGAACTGGCGCCACTTCGCATACTTGTGCGTCACATTCGTAACACATTTTTAGTGCTAGGATATTTTGTACTCCTTAATCGCCGTCAAAGGAAAACCTTGCATTAGTCATCAGCCATCAGCTGATCACGTCGACTAGCCTGCCAGCCGTAAACAACTTTGGAATCGAGTGTTGTGCTTGATTTAGGTGGCATTTAGCTGCCAACTTCCATTCATTTTGCCTCAAAATACTTGGCCTTAAAATGAACGGCTCCATCATGATCTGGAGAAAATAAACGCACTCCATACTTGTATATACGTACCACCCCTACTTGCCTAGGGCTGCGCACAAAAGGGTAGCTTCCCGTATAGAAAAAAGCATACAGAAGAATCTGAAAATGTAGTGAACAGAATACGAGGAGTTCTTCTTTAGAGAAGCTCCATCATGCTGGAAAGTCAGGATCCACCGCTGGAGGCTGGGAGCGTCACGCAGCATCGGTCACACCCGGGCTGGTCATAACAACACCAGTGGCATTCTGCAGCCTCCATGCGCCGTGCAGGGAGGCTGCCCGGTGGACTCTGCCCGGCCGCAGCGCCGGCCACCAGCGGGCGTGACCCGTGTCAGAAGCTGCGCTCTGCAACCGCGCGGCCGGGCGCACAGCCGCGCTCGAGCCAAGCCGCGCATGGCACGCTGTTTCGGAATGGCGCATGCGCCGTGGCGTCACTGTCAGACGGCGCATGCGTCGTTTTGCCTCTGCTCGGTGGCATTGGGCACCGCGCAGCACTTGTGGGCAGCCTTCTTTCCTTCATCGGACTTGCGTGAAAGAAAGATCCAACAGAGGCACAGATACAGATCCGAAGCTCATTGCGCACGCTTACAAGCATGGTAAGTGCGCGGGATGCATCGCTGTTGCCTTTTCAGAGGGTAAGATGGTCGATGGGAGCCGACCATCTCGCTGCTGGGGCCCAGTCTGCCGCAAGACAGCGTCGTCATCAAAATGCTGGATGACTACGACTGGCGGCTGAATAGCTAGCGAGCTCGAGTGATCGGCCAGAGTCTGGTCACCCTAGAAGGCGGGAGTAAACTCGCGTGCGGAATGCAGCTACGGCAACATGTCCGCTGACGCAGCGTTGTGGGCTATGTAGCGCGAAGAATCCCAGCTCTGCCGTCCTGTCAGTAAGGCACTTTAACAGCTGCTGCGCACGACGTAAAAGGCTGCCGCTAAGCATCACAGCCTACGTGCTAATAGATGCTCCGCCGTATTCCAGTTTTATCGCCATCGTCGACATTACTGGCAAGACCCTTCTTGCATAAAACAGCTAATTGGAAAACTAGGGTGTGCTGCACAACACCATACACTAATGAACAATGACAATGTTCATTTTCACAGCAAGAACACCGGTGATCAAAGGCCCAGGGCGGGCATGACACAATGCTGACCCGGGCTGCGCAACTTGAACGGCTGTAAGCAAACATCTCATAGGAAAAACCGAGAATGTCAGCCAGCATGTTCAAAGATATGGCCTGATTTCATTGGTCGGCAGTCTGGCGGGTTCTTAATATGAATACAGCCACACAGTGCCTTCGGCTGTTATTGTGAGCGTGATGTACACTCAAACTTTCTTGGCTAACATACTAGTCGTGCCTCACAAATCGCAACCCATGTTAATGATCGCAGCTAGTTTTAATGATCCGTAGACCGAATAGGAAGCTCTTAGTCACTCGAACCACCCCAACCCGCCACGGGTGGGTGCATCGAAAGACAGACGCTCCTAAAACCATCTGTTTTAGAGGGACACACGAACGAAATCAGAGTAATACTGTTATAAGTATTTCAACTTTAGAAACGGTAACCACTGACAGCGTAATTTGTCGCCAGTTGTGATCATTTCGGTCAGAATGACCTGTTTTATCCGTGCGCCTTACGATGCAGCCAAAAAGACGGACAAACAGACAGACAGTCAGACCATGAGTCACATACTACATCGACTACGCCTTGCGGATCTGGATCAGGTATGCACCCGAGCGGTGAATGAAATATGTAAAATACTTCACCGTGACCGCGCAGTAGCAGATACCAATTCAAGGCATCAGATTACATCAAAACTGCAGGCGTGTAATATTTCTTGCAAGATAAATGGCGGAAATTGCGTTGCACTCCAAAACACATCGTTTTGTTAATCAGACTGGACGACGATACGGATGGGCGCAGGTATATGTCTCTCGTCTGCTGTGTCGCCAGATAACACAGATAAAGGCAATTAAAACGTTATTAGGTAGTCTATGTAATATCAAAACCTTTTGTTTTAGCTATGGCTTAATTTGTCGGCAAGGTCTACTGTCCGGCTTTTCGTCTGAAATGAACTCATCGACATCATCACCAAGGGATAACATGAATCCATGCATCATGCTTTGCAATGTTAAAACGCCCTCGGTGGGGTCAATTTGACCCCGGAAGGTTTTCCGGAGTGGTTTCCGAACAGCGTGGCGTAGTTGCGCCAAATTTTTCATGGCTGTAGATAATTTAATAGCAGATTGTTTGGTATCACCAAAAATTTAGACGTACCTTATAAGGTCGCTGATCTACGGCAGGTCAAGGCCAGGCCATGGTTTCAGCGAAGTCAGTTTGCAGGGAATCTCTCAATCTGATGCGACAACGGAGTGCTAGACGAAGCTACACATCTTTGAGATAGCTTTTTAGGCAAGACGACAATTGAATGAGCAAACTCCATTGACCTACGGTCAGGTATGAAGGTCAGAACAAGGTTAAACCCATCCCCTTTATTACTTTAAGGCCTGCTGTACAGGGTAGATTCTAGTACTCACTCCGAATTTACTGATGACAGGAACTGTATTATATATCTCCCATGGACTGCTTAAAGATCCGAATAGGTCACTGACCTAAAAAGACCCAGGCCAACATTTGTTTTCGGTGCATACTGCCCAGCGAAATATTTTTCGCCTATTCAAATGCAGAACTCAAAGCAGTTTTGTATAATTTTGGTCATCATGACCTCAGAAAGGTCAAACCTTAAATGGGCAGGCGACCTTTTGGTAAAAACAGGTATTTACCTTCTGGTGACCTAGGTGAGTTCACGTACGGGCCAACATACCCTATGAATTTGGCAACGGCCATTCGGGCGCGTGTTAGAAGGAAACAATCTGAGGGTCGCCAAAGATACCGAGAACGACGTCAGTTTGCGTCCGCTGGTTACCGTACAGGACCGTGTCGTGAGCAGATGGCGTTTATGGACCATTGCGGACGCAGTTTCAGCGCCATCGTGGAGTGGTGAGTATTTACATAGGTCCCCAAGTCAAAACAAACATGCCTATATTTGGAATGAGCTTCGGGTTCTACGCGAGAACAACAGTCTACAAACGTGCATGACACTTGACGCCGTGACGTAGGGAACACATCACCCCGCCGGTGTGCCAACGGTCTGAGGCACATGAAGGTGCGGTTCAGGCTCGTCTCCAACATTCTGCCAACATGCAGCCGCGCCAGCCCCGCCGCCCTCCGCTGGCGGTTGGCGTGGCCCGCTGCTTCGTGATGAAGAGAACCGACGCGATCAGGAGGCCAAAGTGATGCATATCACGGCACACCACATGACTAGTACCACCAAAGGCCTAGATTCGCTCGATAAGCTCAGTTGCACGCTTTCGTTGAGCAGCAGTGTCCTACCTTCTACGCGCGGGTACACTTTCGAGAAATTTTTGAAGTACTCAAGTATGATATCCACATCCAACATGTTCTTGGAGCGTTGTGACATCCGGCTGTCACGGATCATGGTGTAATGATCACCACCGTCAGCCATGAAGGATGTGACTGCCACCTCATAGAATTTGTCTTGCTGCACAGGCGCGAAGCGCAGGACGCTGCAGTAGCTGCAGAGCACTTCCACCGACAGCAGACGGGACCCGATTGGTCGCGCGATGTTGTAGGTAGCCCGCACGCCAGAAACCTGAAGAAAGCCGCCGTGGGTCTCCTCAATGCCTGAAACACTAGTCTCCAGTACTTCAAGGAGGGTCCTACCAGTAATGTTGACGATGGTGATGGTGTTTTCGTACGGTAGCGCCTGCAGTAGCATGTGGAGTGTGATGTTCGTTGGCGGCATTGTACGCCGCATGGAACCGCTGTTAATAAGAGCTATGCTGACAGGCTTCGTGAGTTTGAACTCTTGACGCTGGCTAGCCCAGAGGACCGCGTCAGCAAACATGTTACCGAAGTTACACTCCTTACGCCGGCAGGCTTCCCGACTGCCTTCCAAAGTGACAAGGGTTTGACCAACCACCTGACTTCGCTTGACGTCCAGCCGGCGATTGTATTCATCCAGCACCTTAACGACGCCGCTGTCTTCCTGCAAATCGGGTCCCAGCAGTGTGATAGTTGGCCACCATTCACGCACTTTCCCGTCGTCGTCGAAGGCGATGTCGATCCCGCCCATGTACTTGCCATGCTTATAGGCTTGTACCACGAGCGCGGTCGACGAGACGTTCCTTTTAAGGTCGACGCGCTTCACCACCTGGGGATAGACGCCGCTCGCGTGGTCTGTGGGATCATCAGGCGTGTCGGGTATGAAGGGCTGCCAAACCCCGGGCCAGAGTAGCGCGTGTGAGCGCCCTCCTATCACGACGTCCACCAGTGGCACTTTCCGAGCCATTTCCAGGTCGCGCTTTAGGCCCGCGCAGCTGAGCACGACCAACGCACTCACCATCCGCGTACTCAACCTTGTAGCTTCGGTTTTGATCGCCTTAGCTGGGTTAGTGAACGTCAAACCATAAGAGCTGGCATCCACGACCATGTTTGGTTCCGTGTAGCTCAGTATGCCCACTGGCAGTGGCTGCTCACTGTGCATGACTGAAACATTGATGACGCGCGACCTCGGGCACAGCGTGTTCAACTCGTCCTGCACACTCCGGTTCAGCTGACTGAAGTCGGCGTTGGTGCAGACGAACTTGGGTCCGATGCGTCGCATGAAGAAGAGAAGGCTGTCGAGACCGCTGAACAGTTCCTGGATACCGAGGCCCAGTGCATCGTACGGCATCTGAGAGACGATGTCTGCCGCCATTCTCCAGCCGAAGAGCGTGTAGAAGATGTGGCCCTGGAAGAAGTCACCCGGATTGACGTTGAGCAGGCCCGCCTTTGCCTTGCTCTTCTTGACGTAATCCACGGCCGCAGCGAAGCCACCGTAGCAGGTGCCGTTGTAAGATGGCGCGCAGGGGTCGCCCGAGGAGAGGACTCGATCGTAGTGCGAGTGTATGTCGTTCTGGTGAAATATGCTCAGAATTGGCATTTTCAGCTTCTCTCTCCAGGACAGAGCACTTGTGGAAGCTACTGCGAGGACCAGTAGACTCAGCGTGGTGATGAACAAATTGTTCATAACGATCTGTGGAGATTATCGTCATGTTACTTGCAAGTTTCACCCTTCGATGGAAAATCCAGTCCTAAACGCCTTATGGCCCATTTACGCGTGGGAACATCAGCAGCAGCCTTCTATTTCATCAAAAAGGTATATCAAAGTGGTTTTAGAAGAATAAGAACTCCCGCTTTATTCAGTTAGTGACACCATCCATTCATGTAAACACGAATGACCTTGAGCTCCTGGTTTTGGGGCACTGTGAGCTCAGAGTGTTTATCCGGGCAGTCATCGGTCTTCCATGCGTCAGGAGGTACTGCAGGTTCAATATACTAGCTCTCCCAGGGTGTTGAAAGTCAATTTATGTCAGTGTGAGAACTATGAACAAATTGTTTGCAAACAGGAACACAACACACCCTTACCGCTTCACCTTACGCCCTGTTTACTCATGTGTTTGCCACTCAAAAGACACTCACCGTGAATGTGCGGGACCGTGTAAATGACCATGTTATTAGATCGTAAACGCATTGCTGCAAACATACGCCCACATCTAAGCGCCGACTACGTCTTAGCATTTCCTTGCAGTAACTACCATGGATCAAGTCAGCCTTGTTCCTTGTTTGTCCCGCTAATCATATGACATATGCGTATATACACGCGTGCTATTTCGATACGGAAAAATTATTCAAGCAGCTTGACCCAGTTATCATTATCCAAAACAGCCGTAAAAGCTATCCCAAGTAATTCATTGATTTGTCACGAGAGGTACGACGCATCACTATTATTAAACGTATTTTCATGCGTTCATAACAAGCATGCTTCAGGCGCGTTACAGGGCATCAGGCTCTTCCCTCTCTGTTACACGACAGCTGCTCTCTTCGCTCACGCTCTACCAGTCATGACAATGATCTAGGACTCATGCGCGTGAGGACTGAGGCGGGCAAGCGGCGCCTCCTGTATAATATCATATAATTTCACAGCGCCTTGCCTCCCAGAACTCAGCACTTTGCCCCTGGCGTCTTTCTAACCTGAACTATGCAACCACTTAGCTGAAATTTGATGAATATGTAACTATATATATATATATATATATATATATATATATATATATATATGGGTGGGTATGTGGGTGTGGGTGTGTGGGTGGGTGTAGGGGTGGGGGTGGGTATGGGGGTGTATGACTGTGTAGGCGTCTGTGTGTGTGTTTCTGTGTCCCTAAGGTGTGTTTTGGAACTTTGTCTTTGATGTATCCCCATGTCATTATTGCTACGAATGTTTTTTTTAACGTTTATCACCTCTTGCCTTTATCTTATCTACCTTCGGAATAACCTTTTCATCTTGCTATGTTTCAACTTGAATGCATAAATGCATGCATGTGTCCGTGATAAGATATTGAGTGTATGCAAAAAGTCAAGAATCACAGTCGGCAAAATCAACTTTGTTTGTCTTAACGTATCTGCCAAATACCGTTCGTGGAGACATCTTGGAGTGATATGCAGAACATGTAATTTTCGAACGTTATCGCGATGCAGTTTCATGTTTCAGCAGTTTGAAATCGACCTCAAATCAGATAAGCTCACCAGGCTACTGGGGAAAGTGCTTAACTACTTTATAATGACAGTAAATTCCGTTGCAACCTAGCGGTGCAATATATCCTATCGTACTTAAGTGAACGCAACAGCTCTGTTTGAGGTTTGCAGCATTTAAATCCTTCACTGTCTTGAAGCCTCTTGCTTTGCCAATCACACTGCTTCTGCTTACGGATGATGAACAAGTTTTTGATAAACGGTTTTCAAAAACAGTTTTGCATATTGATAGTGACGGGGATGAAGGCGCACTTATCACACACCAAGTGCAAGCAAATTTATCAAGGTACCCAAGCACGCAGTCAAGAGTAGACACATCACGTGCTAAGCCGGGCCGAGACGATGAAGTATCAAACAAAGGCGCATGTTTCTGTTATTATCCTATTTCCTGCTCCATTATTCTTGTACTGTTTTCCGACGCCTCTGCTTTCTTCCTTACCCTTCTGTACAACAGTGCGCACGCTTAATAACAGTCTTCACTCTGTAGCCATTCGGAGCGATTGACAGATCTCGCATTGGATAGATCTACCGCAATCACAAAATCAAGCAGTGCTGACAAGAGAGAAACAAAATACCAAACCCCTCGTAAATTATACACTATTTGTAATAGGCACGTGCCGCCGATTACTCAGAACTCCTCGCGTCAAGGTGGCGCTAAGCGATTGCTCTTATTGACATTCCTATTCTTACGAGAGGATTTCACAGATTGGGCGGGCTCATGGCTTCTTATATGAAAATGAAAACGGATTGGGTTGGAAACAGATTTGGGAAAGCTTCCGGTTATAAATCGGATATTGGAAGGCCGTTGACGAAATGTGGATAGAATTTTTAGAAAAATGCACAATATTACTGCTCCTAATTTTTCAGCTATAATCTGCAATTCACTGACGGGATACTTGTTACTTCAGAGGCTTGATCCTTTCCGTGCATTCACAATTTTTATTGCACAACTTTTAAGAAGTATGCAATTCTGGCGAAGTACTGGCGTGCAAGCTGTCTGATAACGAGTGATTCTCCTGCAGCATTGCATTTTTTTCCCCATTTGGCCCCGCCCATGTGATTAACATGGTGCGAGGGCAAGCGTTGGCATCTTATGAGGGATGGATGGTTTGGACATTACTTCTTATACCCTTGTTAACTATATAAAGTTTTGTCCGTATACTGAGCAGTAACTGCTCTGAACGTCTTGCACCACCCTGTTGACAAAAGAATCGGGCACGTTCAAGGCCGTATCCACGGAATGCGCTAAGCGACAGTTTCTGTCGAAGCTCCTGACACAGGCTGATGAAAATGCACGCCATCAGCAGGATAGGCCATCAATATTCCAATGATACCGGGTCATCTGGGACGACCTCTGCTGGTCGGGCGCCGCGCCGCGAGAGGTGATTGACATATTCGGTTCACAGTCTCCCGCCGTGAAGGCACTATTTCTGTTTCCTTATGATGTACCCGGCAATGCGTTGTATGACGTTACACATACACGGCAGCCACTAAAGCCGTGACCTTACATACAAACACTTCTTGCTACCCACCAGAGAACATACGCTGCGCCCGTTGGCTTGCCGTCTTTCACCCAGACACGCTATCATCCAGATGGTGGTGCATCTTGTCAGGAACACAAACTTTGTTGGTCGTGTTTTTTCGAGGCATCCCTTTGCATCAATACTGTCACTTTGGAGATTGTAGTATGGATACCACGCTTTTTGGATAGAGCTTGTTCATCCTAGTATTCCAAGCTTGGATTTCTATCTTTTAATGTCACCACGGCAAAAAGAGACTGAATAGTTGATAACGTCAGTCATCAGCCTGATCCTAGCATATAGATAGATGTTTAGCCACATATAGACAGATGTTTTTGATAAGAATTCTCAACTCTTTCCATTATACCGAATCATGGGCCCCGAAAAATTGCGACAGTGATGTTGTTTTGGTAAAGAGATACGTAATCTATGACGGTTATTAGAACATTTGGGATGCTCTCGGTTACTAGAACGAAATGCACTATGCAACTTATGATATATAACTAACGAATAAAACGACATGATGGGAGTTATATCCTATCAGATTCCATCCGTGTAATATGATCCTACCCCCATCCCTACCCGCCTCATTGGTTAGGCCATGCTCGTTGCGCGTGTTAATCACGGCTCGTACAATTGCATTGTGGCCACATTATTAACATACGGTATCGATTAACACAGGCGCGTTGACCATTACACTATCGTCACGCTCCTGTAATATTTAATCATATGTATATATAGGTCAGGGCTATATATATACATGCATATACATATATATATATATATATATATATATATATATATATATATATATATATGTATATATATAAGGATTTTCCGACGATCGGAAGATTAGCATTGTCACGCAGCACTTTCCATTCGCGTCAAAACAACGTCCTCCAGATCAGAGCGACCTAACCAGGCGGCGCCTCGAGCTCCGCACCGCGCTGCTCCAGTGTCCGACCTCAGTCTCCTGGCCGGAGCTCGGCGTGAGTGCGCGGGCGTGGTGGCGAAAGTGGCGCGTGTAGCGCCGCTCGGCTACGGGGCGGGGCCGGTACTGAGGGCGGGGGCCGGCGCGGTGGAGAGAGGGGCCGAACGCCTCGCTTCTGTCTTGACCGGAGGTCACAGAGATTTCTCAGCGACCGGGCGTGTGATGACACAGGAAGTGACCAGAGCGGCGGCAGGATACTGTGGAGAGACGAGATGGTCGGATGGCAGGAGAGGAATACAGATGCAATGCAAGGTCCCAATTGCGAGTGGGGCCATGCTCACCTCTGACTTGTCCAAAGATCTCGGGTATATTTTACCAGGGAAGACCAATCCGTTCACACATCCTCACCTTATCACTCCAGCGCACCTTATCACTCCTTATCACTCCAGCGCACTGCGTGACATCAGTATATGACCGACGGTCGCCCACGAGATCTAACGACCTACAGCTCTCATATGCCCTCGCCAGATCATCTGCATTTACCTCGGCCTCCGAATCAACGGGTTCATTCCCTGGAGGCCCGAACCCCGAATCGCTCACAGCTCGCAGGCACTCAAAGCCTATAGCTTCTCACAGCTTACAACTCTCACAGTTCTCTCACCACCAGCTCCAATAGCTCACAGACACGCGACTTATGGGTACGCCCAGCTCCCAACTCCCACAACTCTCACAGTAAATAGCTCTCGCAGCTAGCAGTTCCCACACCTCACAAATAATCAGGGCTTGTAACTACTCACAACTCACAGCTCTCTCAGCTCACAGCCGTCTCGTGGAGCTCCAGCCTGCCCACAGAGCGCGTGGGAATGTCATGAGTTGGGCGCGAGGCGACGCGCGGCCCCCGGGGTGCCAGGTGACCAGCGGCGCCGCTAAACGGCAGCGGCCGAGGCGCGCGCTGACGGCCGTTCAGGGTCGCGTCACGCAGCTGACGCGTGACGCGCTCTAGCGGCGACGTGACAGCCGTGACGGTCCCAAGCGTACCGTCACCTTGGAGCAAGGCATGCGAAGGCGGCGTGGCGCCTGTGGCGGTGATCTGGC